CTACTGGTGTTTTACACACATTATCTCGTCTAAGCCTTATAACTGTCCTGGGAGGGAGGTGTTATTATTCTTTGTTTTATAGATGAGGAAAATGAGTCAGACAGAGCTTAAGTAATGTAACCCAAAGTCATTTAGTCAATAAGTGTCAAAGGTAGGAATTAAATTCACAACTCCCTGGACACAAAGACCAACATTTTATGTGCTACACCCTCATTGTTGCAGGGCAGGGGTGGGAGATAAAATTTGTGAGGAGGGAATCAGAGGGGCATGGCCCCTCAAACGCGGTCCCCTCACCCCTACTCTGAGAGTTCCCCACATTGCCAAACTTCCCAAGTAAGAAGGGCTCACTCTGAGAGACCCCCGGAAAAGGTGACATTGGGACTGCTTGCCTCCCTGCACACCAGGCCTCTGGCCCCACCAAGGCTCCTTCCATTTCTCCATACTCTCAGGCCAGAGTGCAGTGGGCCCTCAGGAGGGTCACCACCATGTGGGCTGGTCCCAGGGCTCTAGTCAGTAGGATGGCCTGAGGCAGGACCAGTGTCATACACTGGCTATCACTGCTATTGGAAGACAGGCTCATTCTGGGCCCCCTTGGCTTTGACTCCAACACAGCCTTTGGCCCCTACCCCTTCAGCAAATAGAATCTGAGGGCCCCAGTGGTCCCCAGAGTCCTGGAATCTCAGACAGTTGGAAAGCAGCTTCCGGCCCAGCCCAGACCTGAGCAAGAGCCCCCTTGACAATGAATGGGCCTTGTCCAGCCTCTGCTTAGAGCCTCTGGGTTGGAGGGAGCACCCTCCCAACTCCTGAGGCAGCCCTCTCATTGTGAGGCAGTCTCATCCTTAGTAAACTGCCTATAGTGACTTCTTGGGAATGTCCCCCAGCTCTCCTTACTGGGGTGGAGAGGCCTTGAGCCAAAACTCCCCAACATGACAGCCCTTCAGATATTAGCGGCAGCTGTCCTCTCCACCACCACCACCCCCCCCCCCCCACCAGCCTTCTCTTCCTTCAGGGAAACATCCCCAGGCCCTTTTAATTTTGCTGGAAGACAAAGGACCAATTACCAGGGGTCCTCCCATAGTAACACAGCCCCTCCTGGGGTCTCAACTTGTACCCCTCAGCAGCTGCCCAGGACTTGGGGCAGCTCTGCTGAGTCTGGGGGCCTCAAATCTCTCAGGCCTGGAGCAGTGACAGTTTCTGGGCCCAGGCCTCCTCCCCACTAGCCCAAGGTCACTGGTTCTGCTGAGCTTTCCGGTCTGTGCTCCTAAAAGACATTACAGATGGAACCCGAGGTGAGCCGGAGGTCCAGAGAGAACTGGCTGACCTGAAGCTTCACAGTGAGGCAGGGGCAAGACTTGGTCTTGGGGGGTTTTGTTCTCGGATTCCCCTTGTCTCCCCGGGGTTCCGGCCAGTCCCCTGGTGGGTGCTAGGCATAGGGAGAAGGTTCTTCTGAGCTGTGTGCGCCCCTGGGGCAGCGCCAGTGCCAGGCCCCACGTGACCAGAGGAGCCTCTTGGCTGCCCACATGGCCTGGGCCTACGTGGCCTGGACCCACAGCTTCCCCTGTCTTTCCTTTCGCCAAGCCAGCCTCCACTGAGCTGCCAAATAGACTTTCCCAAAGTATAGGTGGGGCCACATCACTCCCCTGCTCAAAGAAACTTGGAGGCTCCCTCTTGCCTCTAGGGTCCAAGGCAAACTCTTCATTTTGTATTTAAAGTCCTTTGTGACCCAGCTCCAACGTCTGTTCCTTCCCCTTGTGCAGTCTATATTCCAGCCAGATAGGCCTCCTGGCTTTGCTCTCAGCTTGTAGTGGACAAAGCCTGGGTCCTGGGTTCAAATCCCACCTCTGACAATTACCACCTGTGTGACTTTGGACAACTTCCTTGGGCCTCACTTTCTTCACCTGGACGGCCCCTGAAGTTCCTTCTCGCTTAGATCGAATATCCTCTGATCTCCCACCTCCAGGCTTTTGCACTAGCTTATCCCCTAGGCCTAGAATGCCTTCCCTTCTGCCTTTACCTCTTGGAATCCTTACATCCCTTCAAGGCTCAGCTCAAGTGCTCATGGAACTTCTCCTGGTGCCCTAGCTATTGGTGCACCCCAACCCCTGAAATTACTTTGTATTTTTTGGAATATATTATGTAGCAACTCATCTATGCGCAGCAGATTCTGATGCCTTACCCCAGGACCACCTACCGCAGAGGCAGGCTTGTTTTTTGTCTGTCATCTCAGCACTAGGACCAGCCTAAGATTGCGAACCCCAGGATGAGGACAGGGCCTGGACATCTCTCCAGACCTCTTCCTCCGGGACACGTTTCCTTCTAATGCCGGCTTGGGTTATCCCCCCTTACTCACTGTTCTAAACTGACTTCTCCTCCAGATGGCTACCTCCTCTATGTAGGGAAGGTGCCATGGGATAGGCACCACGCCGGTAGAATCAAGTGAATGTTACCAGACCAAAGGAGGTGGCTCTCCAGAGGAAGGCCCAGAGCTCTGTGCTGTTTAACATTTTTTTTCATGAATGAATGAACCTCCCAAAACCTAGAAAGCATTTGCTAAGCACTTACTGTATACAAACAGAGAAGCGAAACAGCCTCTTCCCTCAAGAAGCTCACATTCTAATGGCGGAGACAGCACGGAGAGAACGTTTCGGAACCAATTCAGACAGAAAGGTCCCACGGTCCTTAGGGTACCAGGAAGCAGATGGTGCTGTCTCTTCTTGGATGGGATTCCCACCGATCCAAAGTCTATCAGTTTCTTAGATGGAACCACTTGACGTTGCCAAAGACCTTGGTGGTGAGAACTCTCTTGGGGGGCTGTCCAGTGGCTTGCAGTTGCCGGTACAGGCTCCTCCTGGCTCTCCCTAGAGGTCCCTCCCAGACCTCCCTTGGGATCTGAGCCAGGTGGGCTTGCCTGTTCTCATGGAGCACTTGGGGGGATGGCTAGCTCCTTCTCCCCTGGAGCCATCTCCCACTGGTGGTGAGGGCTGGGCTAGAAGTAGGGACTGGCCATTATTCTCAAGACTTTTTAAAATCCCAACTTGGATAAACATCCAGAGGGTGTGTTTCCAGGCCAAAGGAGATTTGGAAAGCAAACTCAAGTTCTGAACAACCTGTTCTCTCTCTCAAAACCCCGAACTGCTTTCCAGCACAGGTCCCAGAACACATTATTGCTCCTGTCTTGCCCACTTCCTCCAGCAATGGTCCCATCTTGGACCATCCCTGACCCCTATTTAGAGGTCTCCAGGCAAGCTGGAGGCTGTGGGATTGGGGGGATCTGGTCGCCTCCGGTTATGTTTATTATAATCTCTCTCAGCGCCTCATGATGGATTTCTGGTCTCCTTGGGTACATATTGTAAAATATGTGGGTCTGGTTATTATTGTGAACTCTCTGGGAGTGTGTGGACTTTCTCCTCCCTCAAAGAAGTTCCTGGCCACCTCAGGTATATTAGCTGAATGCCTCTTGTGGTCAGTGGCCTAACACTCACCGCTGGCCTTCTTATGGGTGGGTCTGGCACCACTGAGATACATAGGTACATGGGGATCTCCCCTGATGCCCGTGAGATGTGTACTTATTGAAATGTTTCCCTCTTTGTTTCTGGTGCCAGGCACATGGTAAGTGCTCAGTAAGGAGACCAGGTGTGACTCTTGATACTCACTTCTCTTGTCTGCACCTCAGTTTCCTTGATTATAAAATGAGGCAAATAATGTTTCTATCATTTGTTTCATGGACTTCCTGTTAGGACATTTTGTGTATGCCTTAAAGCCCTAGAGGCAAAGAGAATTACAATTTTTGTGCATTCAATGCCTACTATGTGCTAGGGGAGGAGCTCAGGTCTTAGGGTTTTAGACCTGGGGGGTTGGGGCAGAGCCTTCAGGTGATAGTTCTAGCAGGTGAACCGAGGAGCACCTGGAGGCATAGCATCTAGTGAGACCGCTAGACTAAGGTAGGTAGCAGGCCTGAGCTAGGGTGGTGGCTCAGGGTAGTAGGGGGAGTCCCATACATGCAGTGGTGGGAGAACCCCCCCGAATTTGATTAGCTGTTTGGATTCATAGGGTGACACAGAGGAGCATTCCAAAGCTATGAAGCCGGGTCGTCCCTGGGAGGATGAGGATAGCGACACCCTCAACAGCAACAGGGAAATTAAGGAAGAGGATCAGGGTGGGGGTGAGGGGGATGGAGTCCTGTTTTTGTCCTGTTGAGTTAGAGACATCTACAGGACACCTGGGGAGGAGCTGAGGAGGCAGCTGGTGAAGCAGGGGGAGTAGGGGGAGAGAGGGGAGTGGGCCCAAGCCTCTGCTCTGAATGAGGCCATTCTTTTTGCCTGGAGGATAAAATACAAAGTCCTCCCTAATCTGGCTTCAGCCTGTCTTTCCTGGCTGATCACACCCCCGCCTCTTGGAACACTCAGCTCCAATAACCTCCTCCCCTCACATTTATTTTTATTTTATGGCTATCTTTTATCTATATAGCCGTGATCATATTGTCAGCCCTGTAAAATGGAAGCTCTGTGTAGGCAAGAACTATCTAACCTTTGCCTCAGGACTGCTGCTGGCCCCCCCCCCCCCCCCCGATGCTAAGTGGCCAGATCACAAAGGAGGCAAGTGGACTGGGAGGAGGAGCAGAGGGCAGGATGCCCAGGCCTGCGCTGGCCTTGCTGATTAGGGCTGCCCCCTCAGGGCCGAGACCTTGGAGCTGGGCTGCTCCAGCCTGTGGACGCTCCTAACACCTTGTCATTTGACCTTGAGCAGCAGCTCATGAGACTGACCTTGGTTAGTTGGTTATGGCCATGATACCTGTCTTGCATAACACATGGGGCAGCTCATTGAATACCTGGCCAGAGATACTGAGAAGATAGCGGTACCTGGGATAAGAATAGGGAAGCCAGGAAAAGAGCTAGCTGGGAGCTTGGGGGACAGCATGGGCTTGGGAAGGGTCCCCCTCACCTGGCTCCCAAGTGGAATACCCTTGGACCACAGAAGATCAGGCAAGAAATTCCCCCAGATTCTTTATTGATTCACTCTATCTGTGGCCTTAGGGACCGGCAAGAGGTTTCTTTACTTGCTGTTGGGCTGACCCCCTGTGTCTCCAGGCTTCATTCATCAGAGCCCCCAGGATGACCAAAGTTATACCAGCTAATAACAGCCAGAAGCTGATGAAGTTATGGTGTGCAGACATATACTCTTGGAGAAGGGAAGAAAGGGAATAGAGGAGAAGCTGTTACTGGTACAGAAACCTGGAAAGAGGCACAGATCTGTAGCTTCCTCCCACGCCCCAACAGCCAGCCAGGGTCTGTCCCCAGATGCCCCTCAGGGGAGTGGGGAGGTACTTCGTCACTCACCATCGTTAGGAGTCTCCTGTTGTAAGTTCCCTTCCTTAGAGCCTGTTGGTTGGGGAAAAGGAGAAAGATGAGAAGAAGCTGGGCCTACCTCTCCTCTCTCCTGGGTCTCTATGGTACTTACTCTGGATTCACTGAGCTACACAGGTCATTGACTGACGTCCTAGGGACTGGGAAAGTGTGGGGCTGAGGACAGATTGAAGGAAGGAAAAGACCCTGACTACTTGTAGCCCGCCCACCCCCTGGGTGATAATAAACCTCCTACAGATCCCCGTCCCTTGCCTGTGTACCCCACTAGGAGAAGAACCCTGGGCAGCAGTCAATCCTCCGGTCCTGTGGGACATATTCAGAGGACCTGGGGCTGGGCTTGGGGATCTCCCTACCCCGCCTCCTTACCTGAAATCTTGAGCACCAGGGTATCGCTGGGTGTTGACCAGAGGTAGGGGAAGTCACTATCAAAACTGTAGCATAGGTATGTGCCACTATGGGAGACCATCACAGTGGGGAATAGGAAGTTGGCCTTGTAATCAGTGGAGACCAGTGCGTGGGGCGCGTTGGCCCCAGTTGTCTTATAGAGAACATATCTGTCAGACCTGAGCTGTGACTCACAATGCAAGGTCACATCCTGTCCTATAGTCACAGTGGAGCCTGGATTGGCTGAGATGGAAGGTTTGGGGTACAATCCTAGAGGGAGAGAAGGAGATCCCTGAACAAAGGGGAGCTCTGGCCTCATCTCTGCTTGTTTGTTTGTTTTACTTTTTTTAAAATTTATTTATTCATTTTTAGCTTTCAACATTCACTTCCATGAGATTTTGAGTTCCAAATTTTCTCCCCATCTCACCCCTTCCCCAACCCCAAGATGGCATGCAATCTGATATAGGCTCTATGTATGCATTCATATCAAACCTATTTTCACATTAGTCATATTGTAAAAAAGAATTAGAACCAATGGGAGAAACCACGAGAAAGAAGAAACAAACAAACAGAAAAAAAGAAAAAGATCAAATAATGTGCTTCAATCTGCATTCAGACTCCATAGCTCTTTGTCTGGATACGGATAGCATTTTCCATCGTGAGTCCTTTGGAGTAGTCTTGGATCCTTGCATTGCTGAGAGGAGATGAGTCTGTAAAGTCAGTCATCGCACAATGTGGCTATTACTGTGTATAACGTTCTCCTGGTTCTGCTCACTTCACTCAGCATCAGTTCATTTAAGCCTTTCCAGGTTTTTCTGAAGTCCACCTGCTCATCATTTCTTATAGCACAATAGTATTCCATTACATTCATATACCACAACTTGCTCAGCCATTCTCCAATTGATGGGCATCCTCTCAATTTCCAATTCTTTGCCATCACAAAAGGAGCTGCTATGAATATTTTTGTACATGTGCATCCTTTTCCCATTTTTATGATCACTTTGGGATATAGACCTAGTGGTGGTATTTCTGGGTCAAAGTTTTTGCACATTTTTCTAGCCCTGTGAGTATAGTTCCAAACTGCTCTCTAGAATGGTTGGATCAGTTCACAACTCCACCAACAATGCATTAGTATTCCAATTTTCCCACATCTTCTCCAACATCTATCATTTTCCTGTTTTGTCATGTTAGCTAATCTGATAGGTGTGATATGGTACCTCAGAGTTGTTTTGATTTGCATTTCTCTAATCAATAGTGATTTAGATCATTTTTTCATACGACTACTGATAGCTTTAATTTCTTCATCTGAAAACTGCCTGTTCATATCCTTTCACCACTTATCAATTGGGGAATGACTTGCATTCTTATAAATTTGACTCAGTTCTCTATACATTTTAGAAATGAGGGCTGGCCTCATCTTTGCATCCTGTCCCAGGGAGATATCTATGACCTGGGGGACTCCTCCCTTCCTCTTTGAAATTTGGATTGAGTTCTACCATTCCTCTCTATTCTGTCCCACCTCCTGAGGTCAATAGGGTGGGGACAGATTTCCTAGGAGGAATCTCAGGACTGCCCCTAACTAGCAGAGTGACTTTGAGCCAATCACTTCCCCTCTCTGGGCCTCAGTTTCCTCATCTGTCAAGTGAGTAGCTTGGATTAGATGCTTCCTAGGGTCCCTCCTGGCTGTATTTTTTCTGTGATTCCTTAACCTGGGATTCCTTTACTCTTCTTCCAGGAGGAAGGGGACACAGGAGGGGGAGGACATGAGAGAGGGGCATGACCAAGCTCATCCCCCTCACCTGTGACCGTCAGCTCAAACGGATCACTGAGTTCTGACCAGTGGTTTTGACTCTGGTATCGACACCGGTAACGACCTGCTGTCTCTGCTGCTATGTCTGAAATGAAAAACTTGGCCTCCTTCCAGGGCCCAGGTACTTCCAGCATGTCTTTTAGCTCTGTGCTCCCATCCTTTTCCAGAAGGAACCTCTGGGCCTCTTCTGAACCATGGCAGCGGACAACAACGGACTTTCCCCAGGGGATCACAGTGCCAGGCACAGCCCACAAGAAAGGTTTGGGAAGTGTTTCTGAAAGTGAAGCAGATAGAATCTTCCATCCCAAGGGAACCTCTCCCTGAGTCTCTCTGGGTCTCCCTCAAAAACAGGGAACCATGGACAGGAGGGGTCAGCTGAGGGCTAGGGTACAGCCTGACTTGGGACTGGGATTAAGGAGAGCTCCCCTCACTTGGTTCCCAAATGGAATGGCCCTTGGTCAAGATGCCCCACCCCCCCAATCCATCCCAGGAGACCGCCCCTGATTAATCTATTGGTTCACTCCATTCATCTTCCATCCTCAGCTCTTCAAAGCGCCTAGATGCTGGGTATCCCTATCCTCAATACCCCTGGGCCTGCCAAGCAGTCATCTATATACTAAGCTGTGAAGGCAGAAAAGGGGGTTTGAGAGAAAGGATTCACCTTTCTGTGCCGTGACTCCCTGGCTCAAACACAGCCCTCTCCGAGAGGACCCAGTGAGAGAAAAGAGGTTTCCTCCACCCACAGCCAAACCCTCAGCCCCCCACCCACTCTGGAGGAGGCCTTCTAGTCATAGGATGATAGAAGTAGAGTCAGGAGGGATCTCAGAGGTCATCTGGCAGGTGAGGAAACTGAGGCCGGGGAGGTGACCCGACTGCCCAAGGTCCCACAGGGAAATCATCAAAGGTAAGAGTCAAGTGCAGGTCCTCTGGCCCTGCAGCCTCAGAGCATTCTGTTCTGCGTGATCTGGGAGTCCACTTCCCCTCCCTAAATCCCCTAGAACTCACCAAGACAGAGCAGGGCTGCCAAGGACCCAGGCATGTTCCTGAACCGAGGTGTTAAGGAACTGTGAGGACTTTGGGCCGGGGGCAGAAGATGAGCTGAGGCCAGTGGGAGGTCTGTCTCTTTCCTCCCCTATGGCCAGCTTCAGAGCTCCCCCCTCATGACCCCCTTCCCTCTTGGACCCTGTGTCATGCTCCTGGCAACCCCCCACTACCTGCGAGTGCTATTGTGATGACACAGAGCCTGCTGTGCTGCCTTGCCTGGCTGAGGAAAGTCCAGGCTGGGGAGGGGGGGCTGGCCACAGATGAGAGACAACCTTGTCCTAAGGCGTAGGAGGGTGGGACCGTAAGCTGGTGCCGTGCCGAGTTGTTCAGCCCCGCAAAGGGCCCCAGGCTTTGGCAGAAGATTGCAGACAGCCTGAAAGCTCTGAAGGCCCCCAAGAAAGGGCATCAGGCCCGGGGGTATAACCCCAAGGAGCAAGGGGCCAGTAGTAGTAGTAGTAATTGTTCATCCTTCATTTTCAAAGACCAATGACATCGTGAATGAGTTAGGTCTTGTGTGATTGGACTCAAGTGAGGCAGAGGTGCACACATCACCAGCCTCACCCTCTCTCCCAGAGTCATCGACGTCCAGCGGCAAAGTCAAGACGACTGGTGATGACGCAGGATGCAGTGAATGACCTGAGCGTCTTCGAAAGCTCTCCACGGCGCCTGCTTTGGTCGCCTTCATGGCCAAGGGAACAAATTATTCTCATCCACCTATTCCGTCAGAAGTCTTCACATGCTTGGGGTAGGCATCCCCCTAACCCACCGATGGGTTTAAAGCCTGCCAGCTGCCCTTAACTTGGTTGAGCCGGTCTGCTGATAGGGTTTATCGCGGGTGGCCACTGCACATGCTACAGCTTCTTGGAGCCGCTGAAAAATGGAATAGAGGTATACTCCTATGCTGTGGAATTGTGAACTCACCCAATTATTCAGGAAAACCACCAGAACTATGTGAAAAGTGCATCAAACTTTTTGCACCCTTTAACTCAGCAATTGCACAGCCAAAGGGATCAAAAAAAGAAAAAAAAATCACACGCACGGTGTTTCCAACACCAGCCACAAGTCCGCACCTGCTATCTCTCCCACCTCCCCACCAGAATCCTGCATTCCACCCTCTGGGAGCACCCTGGATCTTTACAGGGAAGCTCTTGCCTTCTTTTGGCCTGAGCCCACCCTTACCTCCCTTCCTGTCCATGAGTGCCACACCTCCAGCTCTTTCCAGGTCCCCTTTCTCCTCCAGCTTCTCCCATTAGAATGTAAGCTTGAGGGCAGGGACTGTCTTGCTTTCTTAAATTTGTATTCCTACCATTAGCACAGTGACTGGCACATATCAAGTAATTAATCTTTTAGTATCTATATAGGCACATAGATAATAGACATCAATAAAGTAAAAATACTCAGAGCATCCATATTCTGTGATAGCAAAAAAAAAAAAAAAAATGGCCCAAAAATGGGTGCCTATCAATTGGTGAATTGGAGAACATATTGTAAACCAGCTTGCCCCCTCCCCAAACCAGTTTGAGCCCCCCTCCTTACCTGAGAAAGGCCTAAAACCTGGATTTCAGGAGAAAGGCATTTTTGGCTCACTCTGAGTTTAACCTACCGTAATGCTTTGAGTACTCTGGCATAACAGACATGCTTTGCTCTCTGAGTGAATCCAAGCTCTCCTGCTCACTGGGAATATTCTTCTGAACTCCAGTCTTACCTGCTAGGTATATCTGCCTAAACATCCTATTTGTTGTGTTCAGTCATTTCTGTTGAGTGTGACTCTTCGTGACCCCATTTAGGGTTTTCTTGGCAAAGATACTAGAATGCTTTGCCATTTCCTTCTCTGGTTCATTTTGCAGATGAGGAAACTGAGACAAACAGGGTTAAGTGACTTGCCCAGGGTCATACAGCTATAAGTGTCTGAGGCTGGATTTGAACTGAGGTCTTCCTGACTCCAGGCCCAGCACTTATAACCACTGCACCACCTAGCTGCCCCAATAAGTGTGTCAAAGTATAGCTTGTGGGCCACAAAAAATCTAATCTGCCACAAAAGCAACTGAGGCAGAGCTCTAAGCACATGTCAATTTACTAGGGAGACTGGTGGTCACTAATTAACTGGATCCAAGACCTTCCTTTTGGTCAAGGATGACCTCTCTACTCACCATTTGTGAGGTTTTATTGACCTTCAAAGGTCACTAATGAACATTACAAGTTCATGACTGGTCAGCTCCAGGAGCAGGGGACTCATATGATTGGCTAAGGGGGAGAAACAGAGGAAATCACCTCATATTTGGCTAAAGGAGGAAGTCTCCATATTTGGTCAGGAGAGATGTCCATCAATCATTAATACTTTGTCAGTAGTATTCAGAGGCTTTCCGCAGGTCATGGGACTCTGTCAGCCAGGTCTTGGGCCTTCCACAATGCATCTTAGCAGGTACTTTCAACACAAACAAACATCAGTGACTAATATGCTGTGGAAAGATGGTCAGCACTTTCCACAAGCTACCACAAATCAGCTTTCCACAAGCCATATGAACCTTATTTCAAGCATGGTACACTTAGAAGTGTGATTGGGGGTTGGGGGTGGAGAGGGAGAGGCGTCAGTGCTAATACAGGAGCACAAGCTAAGATAAATCCTTATAACACACCTAATACAGCATAAATCTGTCCCATCCATCAATCACAAGTAATAGAATCATCAATACAAGGTGAGTTAATTAATCATAACTTTTTCTTATAGCATTAACTATCATAAGTAACTCAAACTTAATTCTACTCAAATCACTAACACAATCGCTGATCCCATTAAATCATACTGAACTGAGCAGACACTGATTAATTTGAGTAGTGGTATCTAAATTATCTTCACAGGGGCAGAGTAAAGGAGTGGGCCCCTGCTTGATCAGAGGGCAGAGAATGGAAGCTAGCCAGTAGGACGTGCCTAAGAGAATGTTCTGGGTGGAGAAAAGAACAAATTCCTAGCAGGAAGAGGGTTGAGGGGATGGCTTGAGGCCTAGAGACCACTGGCCTCCCTGGCACCCTGCAAGAGCTCTGGGCTCTGGCTGTGGGTCTGGGTTGCTTCCTAGGCATTTGACCTCAGCTCCTCTCTCAAATCCACCCTTTCCATGGCTGTCAAACTGGTATTCCTAAAACATTGGTTTTCTTCTGTAGCTTCCCTGGCTCAAGAAGGGTCAGTGGCATGGCTAATAGGAAATACATCTTACGTGACTTCACATGCATAATGAGTATCACACTTTGCAGCGTATGGGGGAGGAGCAGGAGGGAGGGAGAGAAATTGGAACTCGACATTTTCTTTTAATGTTAAAAATAAATAAATACAATTTCTGAATGGGGAAAAAAGTGACAGTAACACCCTGTTTACTTCCTTTAGGGTTAATTAAACACGAATACAGACTCCTGTCTGCCACTTTAACCCCTTTCTTTCTAGTCTGGCTTCTGCCTACTTTTTTTTTTGCACTTTTTAATTAATTTATTTTAGTTTTCAACATTCACTTGCAGAAGATTTTGAGTTCCAAATTTTCTCCCCATCTCATCCCTCCCCCCACCCCAAGATGGCATGCATTCTGAATACTCCTTTCCATAATCTGCCCTCCCTTCTATCTCTCCCCACTTCTCTTATCCCCTTCCCTTTCTATTTTCCTGTGGGGCAGGATATATGTCAATACCCCATTTCCTGTATTTCTTATTTCCCAGTTGCATGTGAAAACAATTTTTTTAATATTTCTTTTTAAAACTTTGGGTTCCAAATTTTCTCCCTTCTTCCCTCCCCACCCACCCTTATTGAGAAGGCAAGCAACTAAATACAGGTTATATATGTGTAGTCATGCAAAACACTTCCATAGTAGTCACGTTGTGAAAAACTAAGTATATTTCCCTTCATCCTATCCTGCCCCCCATTTATTCTATTCTCTCTTTTGACCCTGTCTCTCTTCAGAAGTGTTTGCTTCTGATTACCCCCTCCCCCAATCTGCCCTCCCCTCTATCATCCCCCTGCTCTCTTGTCCTCTTCTCCCCCTATTTTCCTGTAGGATAAGATAGATTTCCATACCTAATTGAGTATGTATGTTATTCCCTCCTTAAGCCCAATCCAATGAGAATAAGATTCACTCATTCCCTCTCACCTTCCCCTCTTTTCGCTCCACTGTAAAAGCCTTTTCTTCTGTGTTTTATGTGAGATAATTTAATTTACCCATTCTACCTCTCCCTTTCTCCTTCTCCCAGTAAGATCCTTTCTTACCCCTTAATTTTATTTTCCAGAATATTACCCCTTCATCTTCAACTCACCCTGTGCCCTCTATCAATCTATCTATCTATATAATTTTTCCCTCCAACTACTCTAATACTGATAAAGGTCTCATGAGTTACAAATATCATCTTTCCATGTAGGAATGTAAACAGTTCAACTTTAATAAGTCCCTTATGATTTTTCTTTCCTGTTTACCTCTTCATGCTTCTCTTGAGTCTTATATTTGAAAGTCAAATTTTCTATTCAGCTCTGGTCTTTTCATCAAGAATGCTTGAAGGTCCTCTATTTCGCTGAATATCCATTTTTTCCCTTGACGTATTCTTCTCAGTTTTGCTGGGAAGGGGATTCTTGGTTGTAATCCTATCTCCGTTGACCTCTGGAAAATTATATTCCAAGCCCTTTGGTCCCTTAATGTAGAAGTGCTAAATCTTGTGTTATCCTGATTGTGTTTCCACAATACTTGAATTGTTTCTTTCCGGATGCTTGCAATATTTTCTCCTTGACCTAGGAACTCTGGAATTTGGCTACAATATTTCTAGGAGTTTTCCTTTGAGAATTTCTTTCAGAAGGAGATTGGTGGATTTTTCCATTTCTATTTTACCTTCTGGTTCTAGAATATCAGGGCAGTTTCCCTTGATAAATTCTTGAAAAATTGTGTCTAGGCTGTTTTTTTGATCATGGCTTTCAGATAGTCCAATAATTTAAAAATTCTCTCTCTTGGATCTATTTTCCAGGTCAGTTGTTTTTCCAATGAGATATTTCACATTCTCTTCTATTCTTTCATTCTTTTGGTTTTATTTTAGAGTGTCTTGGTTTCTCATAAAGTCACTAGCTTCCAATTGCTCCATTCTAATTTTTAAGGAAGCATTTTCTTCAGTGAGTTTTTGGACTTCCTTTTCCATTTGGCCAAATCTGCTTTTTTAAGGCATTCTTCTCCTCATTGGCTTTTTGGACCTCTTTTGCCATTTGGGTTAGGCTACTTTTTAAGGTGTTATTTTCTTCAGTATTTTTGGGGGGTCTCCTTTAGCAAGCTGTTGGCTTGTTTTTCATTATTTTCTTGCATCACTCTCAGTTTTTCCTCTACTTCTCTTATTTGCTTCTCAAAATCTTTTTTGAGCTCTTCCACGGCCTGGGACCCATTCATATTTTTCTTGGAGGCTTTGGATATAGGAACTTTGACTTTGTTGTCTTCTTCTGGTTGTATGTTTTGATCTTTGTCACCAAAGAAAGATTGTATGGTCTGACTTTTTTGTGCAGTTTGCTCATGATCCCAGTCAATTACTTGAGTTATAAACTCTTTGTTAAGGTAAGAGTCTGCTTCCAGCATGGAGAATGTACTGTCCCAAGCTTTGGGGGTTTTGTGCAGCTGTTTTCAGAGATCCTTCTAGGGATCTGTAGATTTTCAGTTCTTCCAAGGTGGTATGATAAGGGGAGAGGTGTTTACTCCTTTCCTGGCCCATGCTCTGGGCTATGAGTGACCACAAGCACTCTTTGCTGCCTTGGAACTGTGAGGAGGATTTCCTCTCCACCACCACTACCAGCTCAACCACGCCTGTGCGCCTCCTTGCCCCAGAACTGCCACCTAGAACTGTGACCCAGATCCAAGCACAGGCAAAGCAAGAGAATCCTACCTCAGCATCAGCAAAGAGATCCCTGCATCCCTCCTTTGATCAGCCACTCAACTCCCCCTCAGTCTGTGGGCCAGAAGCTCTGGAAGCAGCCATCACCCCGGGGCCATGCGTGGAGACTAGGGCTGGGACCACCATGCTTCTCTCTCTCTCTCACCACAGTCGCAGACTTTTCCTCCTGACCTTCTAAGTTGTCTTTGGCATTCCTGGGTTGAGAAGTCTGGAAACTGCCACAGCTGCCCACGATTCATTCCTCTGAGGGCTGCTCCAGGTTTGCTGAGGCCTGTTTTGCCTGCGCACCCACGCTGAACTGTGTGCCTCTCCCCACCCAGCGCGATGTACCTTTTCAATCACCCATCCAGGTTGTCCTGGGCTGGAAATTTGTTTCACTCTGTCTTTTTGTTGCTTCTGCTGCTCTAGAATTTGTTTAGAGCCATTTTTTACAGGTATTTGGAGGGGTTTGGGGGAGAGCTCAAGCAAGTCGTTGCTTTTCCTCCACCATCTTGGCTCCGGCCCTCTGCCTACTTTTCCAAACAGATCTGACTTACTCCTGGTCTGCCCCACCACACACACACACTACTTGCCAACAGAACCAGTATTCTGGCAGTGTACTCTGTAAATAAGGTCCATCTTCTCCCTCCATGCTTTTGCCTAGGGGGCTAGGCTGTTTCCCAAGCTTAGAATACTCAGCTACATGCTGCCTCCTTACAGCCTACCATGATTGCCCCCATTTCTGGTGCTCTCATCCTCCAATAAAATTAATCTGTGTTAGTTTTCTGTATACCTGTGGAATCCTCCTCACCATCACCCCAAGAACGTAAGCTTATCGAAGAAAAGAGGATCCACTTTGTCTTTGTGTTCCTGGTTCCCAATACTCAATAATAATGTTTCATCTTGCTATCCAATGTATGGAGCAGAGTCACGGGCTGGAAATCCCCCCAAATCTGCAATGGGGAGGAAGCCAGCCTCAGTGACAAGGACCCCTAACAATCCCACCTGTTGCCATCTGAGGACACAATGCCTGGTCCTTCTGAGGATCCCAGCTCATAGATGACCCAGCAGGGACCTTGGGGAAAGTTTCATCCAATCCATCTGGAGAAGAAAACTTGAGTTGGCATAGAGAATGGAAGAGACTTGGCCAGGGTCACACAGGTAGGAAGCCGGGTTCCCTAACTCTGATTCGGCTAGTTTTCCCCCACTAGTCCAGGATATCTCTCATTCCTATTTTAAAGATGAGGAAATGATGCAGAGTTGAAGTGACCCACCCAGCTGAACACAGCTTCGATCAGCGCCAGGACACTGGAGCACAGGTTCTGACCCCAGTAATGAGACCTGCTATTCCATGTTTCCCACATATGGACGCCTGCACTTGGGAGTAGAGAGGCAGAAAGAAGAGAAGTTGGAGAGGTAGGGGTGGGGTTCAGGTCTTCAGAGGAGCTTGGGATGGGGGGTGCCCAGGCTGAGTGGGGCAGTAGGAGGGGGGGAGTGCTTGAAAGGAGAAATGGAAAACAGAGGTTGAGATGGGTAGATGCACCCCCTAACACAAGGCTATATGCTGAATATAAACACAACATAACAGAAACCCTACTCGCTTAGTGAGTAAATTGTGAAATTTTCAATATGAACAATCACATTCTGGAAATCAGCAAATGCTGCAAGTCAGGGCTTGATTTATTTTCTTGTTCATCGACTAGACTTCAGAAAGCAACAGAAAAAATGTTAAAAATGTTCAACTTAAGGGGCCTGCTACACATTTTTTTCCTTCTGGGCAGCTGGTTGTTAAACTTTTCCCAGCACACCCCTGCCCTAAGCCCTCTCCTATGCCCATTCCCAGAATTCCCCAGGGCCCTGCTCATGAACCAAGAAGCCAGGCTACTCCCTTGGAGAGTAAGAAGGGCCAGTGAGCAAAGGAGCCCGGCCCAGGGCAGGAGCTACCCAGCAGGTCAAACTGTGGATGTGGCAATTACCCGATTAATGATCGTGGACAAGACCCTTCTCTTTGTACCTCAGTGCCTTTCTTAGTAAAAGAGAGGATCTGAAGCATCCCTTCGACCCCTAAATCCAACAATATCTGCCAGAAGCACAAAACTGTTTCTTCATGTTGTTTGCCCATCTATCTCCTAGAAATGGCTCTATCTTAGAGATCTGTTTTAAAATCACATATACTTTGGATAACTGTTACTCATCAAGATATCTGATGCAACAATTTTTTCTTCATTTAACAACTTCCTTTCTTAATTTCCAAGGAAATAATTGGGGGGGGGGGGGTAGGAATGAAGGGGGTCTAGCACTTCCTGACCTGAAAGTATACTACAAAGTTGTTATCGTCAAAACCAGTTAAAGAAACGAAGTACATGAGTGGAACAAATTAACAAGCAGGAGTCAGATGTAACTTAATAATTGTTCAGTGTTTGATAAACACACAGTTGAGAACACAAACTACTTGGAAACCCAATAGGTGGCAAAAGCTGTTGAAAAGCAATCTGGCAAAAAAAAAAATACTATAATGTTACACTGTTCATGGCAATAAGTTCCAAATGGATACACAAATTAAATATAAAAGGTTATGTCATTTAAAAATAGCAGAGAAAAATGCCTAGAGGCATATTTGGCAATCATGACAAGGGAAGAATTCTTAACCAAACAAGGAACAGAATAGATCTTAAAATATAAAACAGATAATTTTTATTTACATAAAATTAGAAGGCTTTTGCACAAACAAAATTCATGCAGCTAGGATAGGGACAGACTATCTTTGTTGACAGAGATAAGCCCAACTGTCAAAGCTGACACTAAAAATGGTGGTAACCAGTGATGATGGTAACCAACCTTGGCCTGGGTCCAACTCTTGCCATCCCTTCCCTGCCCCAACCTAGCTTCCATGTCCCAAAAGGCTCTTTGGGGACTTTTTGTCTTGTTATAGGCTCTCCTCTTTTTTGCAGAATGGCCCAGGCCACTGTTAGGAAGTCAATCCCTGCCTGGTGTCCTTGGGAGTGATAAGGATGATAAGCTCTGACCTCAGGAAAAAAGGGGAAGTTGGATGTCACGGTCTCAGGCGGGGCCACAGGCAAGCTCCCAGCCCGTGGGAATCTGCACAGTGTCAGGAGAGGGATTAAAAGACAGGACTAGAGCTTCCTCCCTCTAACAAAGGGGCTTAAGAACAAGGGAGAGCCCATCCAGACTCTTCTTCAACCTCAGGGTCTCTGTCTCCCAGGACAGCAGGCCTGTAGAATATTCTAGATCCTTCCCAGTCTCGCCTGGTGGTCCCTGGAGAAGATCTAGTCAGTTAGAACCCGCATTGTGAGGGAGGAGGCACCTTGTCATAGGTGCCTATGGAGCGGGAGTTAGAAGGGCTCTAGGGTCGAACTAGCCTCTGACACGGACCAGCTTGGTGACTATGGGCTTCACCTCGCTTTACCTCTCTGGGCCTCAGCTTCTTCAGCTCTAAAATGGGGACAATAACAGCATCTACCTCCTACAGTTATTGTGAGGACCAAGTAAAAAAATTGTAAAGCCCCTTGCAAACCTCAAAGTACTATATAAATATTAGCTACAATCATAGTCATTACAAATAATAACAATTATTACAAGCCTTTGCAAATATTAAATCCCTGTATCAATGTCAGGCATGATCAGTATAGAAGGAAAGCTGAAAGCAGGACCATCATCTTGCCACAGCAGAGCCTTCAGCAGCCTCTGGTCTAACTTTTACATGGAGTCATCCCCATTATAAAATGCTTAGTAAAAGGTAGTCCAGTTTCTTCCTAGAGGCCTCCAAGACTGAGGACCCTGCCACCTCTCAAGGAGTCCCACTTCTTTTTTGGATAGCTCTCGTTGTTAGGAAATATTTCCTGACATTGAGCCAACATTGGCACCTTGGCAATTTTTCATCACTGCCCTTAAGGATCACACAGGATAAGTCTAACCTCTGCTCCATGGAACAGACCTTCCAAAGCTTGAAAACAGCTCTTCTAACCTCCCGAGTCTCCTTTTCTCCAGTCTAAACATGCCTAGTTCCTTCAACATCTTACCACCTTTGTTTGCAATGAGCACTCAGTGGGCTTGCATTCCTTGACAAGTGAATGAGGCAACATTAGATAAAGCGATGCTAGGAAAAGTGGAAGGAACTTTTAAAAAAATAAGCATTTCTCATGAAGTAGATCTCATGGGGGCAAGGGTGTGTTATAGTGGAAAGGGAGTTACATTTGGACCTGGTGGACCTGGCTGTGTCTCTACAAGACCTGTGTGACCTTTAGCAGGTCCCTTCACCCACACAGGCCTCAGTTTCTTCATCTGTAGAATAAAGGGGATGAATCAGATGAGGTTCTCTGAGGTTTTTTGCAGATGTAAAATTTTTAAAAACTCATTTATCTTCTTAGGGTCTCAGTTAACCCTCTTCTAGAAGTGGAGAAGTCAGAGCAACTGATTTCTAAAGCCCTTGCCAGCTCCAAACTCATGGCACCAGATTTTTGGATTACAGACTGTGGGACAGAAACGTGGCTGTTCTCCGAGGACACATGGGACACTCCCACTTATCTGGTAGGCCCCGGTTGTCAAGAGCACCAAGGGCATTACCTGCCTTGCACAATACTCTGGCCTTCGGGGAAGGACATAGGCCTGGGAGCAGAAATGGGAAGCAAAAACAAACCATGGCAAGGGGCTGCTGACCCCAGGGACAAGAACCACCCTCAATCCCCACCCCCATCTCCCTCCTCATTTATTCTCTGCATACTATGTACAAGGCATGGTGCCAAATGGTAGAGGTACCACGACAAAAAGATAAACTGTCCCTATTAATATTTCTATACATGCGAGTCAGTAAATACAATGAGACCTAAAGAAGGAGCGGGCGTTAACAGATCGGATCACACTACACAAAAAGTCCAAAGCATTTCCTGCGATGCTTGCCCTGATCTCTTCACCTGGGGACACCAGGCTCTCCTCCTGGCCTGTTCTTCTACCACATGGGCAGAAGTAGCCTCCTCCAACCAGCTGCATCTTTAAAACTGGCCGCACTGGGACAGCCTCTCTTTGCTGCTGCATCCAATGGGGTAAGAGCCCGTGGTTCACCCACAGAGCCAGGGCCATGAACTGAGTCCCAAACAGATATCCCTTCACCCACATTTCTCTTCCTCTAGGCCCCACGGCCTGGGGTGTTTGTTGTCAATGTGTTTGCCAATATGTTGGCAACAGTGCCAGGTGCCTATGGGGAAGCTTGAGTCCTGGACCTTGGACTTCGGGTAGGCTACTGAAGCCAGCTGGCCTAGCCAGGAGAAGCAAGGGTGCCATGGGGGGTTTTGGACTTAGAACTTGGAACTGAGCTTACCTGTGAACTTAATTCCCTTCCTCTCCCCAGAGAATAAAGTAGTACAGGATGGGGGTGAGGGATTAAGCCCTGCGAATTGGGGGAATGTTTGTATATTTGTGATCGTACCTTCGAAGTAAATATTTCTTTGTACAAGTTAGTGATTAAGCAAGTAGAACTGAGGTGAAGGGGACCCCACCCCCTACAAATGAAGGAATGCCATTGGTGGAGGCTGGTGCTATTGGCAGAGAGCCCTGACACCCAACCCACCTTACGGGCACCAGAGAATCCTGGGGGAGGGAGAAATGTAACCCATCTGGACTTCTGGAACCAGGGGCCAAGCTGGTAAGTATCACACCGGCTTTCTATTCACTCAGAATTGTCTTGCAAAGACATTTATTAAGGTAGGTATTTCCAAAGAACATAGGCCCCTTAAGAGCAAAGACTAGCTTGTCTTTTTGTGCCTAGCACAGTACCCAGCATGCAGCAGGTGCCTAATAAAAGCTCCTCTATTTTGAAAGACTTGGGAACTTAACGGAGGACACAAATACAACCGTGACTCCAGAGGGCTGATTGTGCTACTCCCTTCCTGAGCAGGAGTTGAAGACCAGACATAAAATGAGACTTAGAACCTCGGACACAACCGACGAGGGAATTTGTTTTGCTTGACTAAGCAAATTTGTTGTGAGTGTAGTTCATTCAGTGGTAGAAACATGGGAGGAGGATGCTAATGATTAGAAAGGAAGAAAGGATGAAAGATAGAACCAAAAAGGGAAGGAAGAAAGTCAGGAAACAGCCAGCACAGCTTTGAAAGTCCTATGTTGAATTTACTCTATACGGAATTGGGAAAGTGGGCCCTGGGCAACGGATCAGTGATTTCATGTACTGTCTTCCCTTGTATGTGAAAATGCTTGTTTTACTGGGTTTGCAAAGTTAGTCAGAAATAAGTGCTTATTTAATGGGAAAGAAAAAGGGGAGGGGGGAGGCAGGGAAGGAAATCAGAGAAGGTATGAACCAAGGTCTGAAAGATTCCGAAAGGCAGAGAGATGAAGAAACGCATTCTAGGCAAGGGGGACAGCTTTGTGCAAATGTATGCGCCCTCAAGGCTGAAGTGGCTGGCAAGAGTTGTCTTCAATTTGACTTGAAATTCATTGCATGGAGCAAAATAAAGCAAAACTATGATTAGAACAGTGGGGAAAGGGCCGGTGGGGTGAAAGCCAAGGCTTCTGCTGTTTCCTTGATTGTTTCTCCCCACACACAGAGACAAGGAGATCTACCACTGCCCATAGGGGGCCAGGGGAGAGGCTTCCAGGAATCAGAATCCAGTTGGGAGTCTTTGGGGTGGCGGCAGTTTGTGAAACAGGACTTGAACGCCCCAGCCCCGATACCTCTTAAATGGATTCTTCCTGGCAATTTGGTCACCCTTCCGGAGAGAAAAAGAGAGAGAGAGAGAGAGTGTCAGGAGGTGGTAGCCTCCTGGAGTCTTGTACGAATGAGTGAATGAATGAATAAAGGGTATGAATGAACCAGTGAATTAACAAGTACACGAATGAATGAAAAAGCATTTATTAAGTGCTCACCATGAGCCAAAAACTGTGCCAAGTGCCGAGGACACAAACACAAGAGCAGGCAGTCCTTGCCCATCCTTTAAGGAGCATCCACTCTAAAGGGGAGGGCACCCACACAAGGAAGGAGGCAGGAAGAGGTGTTAAGCTAGGGGCATGTTGAATGGGGCCCCTGCAGTGTCAGTACCGCTTTGTTTCTAGGCCCGGAACACAGAGAGGGGAAACTGGGGAGGCCCTCAGCGGCACTGGCCGGCCTCGGGAAGCTAGGCGGGGAAGAAGTGGAGACACTCACTCTGAGGACGGCAGTGCTGTTCATCCCCTCCCCTCTAACCACTTCAGCCCCTGACATTGTAATCTCCTCCCCCTATGAGGGTCTGCCGCCAGGTTCTCCCCTCTGCAGCCATCCTCCCTCCACACAGAACGACAGAGTCATCTGAAGACACAAAACCTTCCGTTGGCCTCTCAGGGCTCCAGCTCTTCTGGTCAGATTCAAAGCCTTCCCCAATCTGGTTCCCACCTGCCTCACTTCTCATTGGTTCACACATAGGACTTTCCAGACACGGGGGGGATTCCTGGCTGGTTCTATACCTCCACGTGCTTTCTCCAGCCTTCACAATTTATACAAGCAATCTTCCCATTCCTGGGAAGAAATCTTCCTTCAATCGATCAACAAGCATTTATTAAGTGCTTACTTTTTGCCAGGCACTGGGCATAGGTACAAAGAAGGAAATCACTCCTGCTCTGAAGCCTCCGTTCCAATGGAGACAAAAATACATTGGGAAATATATTCAGAATAAATAAAGAGAATAAATAAAAATAAATACAAAGTAGTTAAATACGAGGCTGTTTGGGAGGGAGGGCTTCCTGTAGAAAGTTTTGGGTGAGATGTGTTTTGAAGGAAATCTTTTTGTGGGGAAGGGGTGTTGAGAAAGGGGTGCACTTCAGGCACAGGGGATGGGAGGGAGAGAAATGCAAAGGCAGAGAGGGGAGGGAGAAAATTCTGTGGAGCAAAGGAGAAAAGGCCAGTAACCCTAGATCACAGGGTGTGGGAGGGGGAATAATTACGTCCAGTGAGGCTGGAAAGACAGGCCAGGCTCCTCTTCCCCACCCCCACCCAACCCCGGCCAGGGAGAGGAGGGGTAAATGGGATGACATTGAAGACAAAGAAAAAGGAGGCAGAAAGACAAAAGTTTCAGGAAAGAAAAAAAGTGAGAACAAGAGGGACCAGAAGAATTTTTAAAAAGGTGAGAAGAGCCACATGGCTCCAAAGAGCTTATACCAAAGGAAAAGCGAACTTTAAGGGCAGGAAAGGGGAGACCTCGCAATCCATGGTCCCTGGAGCCCACAGAAGCTTGGGAGTCCCCATCCTGTCTCCGGCCGGATGGCCACTGAGCTAGAACACTCGTGGAGTTCTGGGGCACTTGGAGAAGAGGGGATTCCCTGACACCACGAGCTCAATCTCCCACAAGGTGCCCCACCTGCCTGCAGGGACAATCACTTCAGTCACACCACCTTAAGTCAGTAACACCGAGAAAGGGGTCGCAACCACGCTGACACAGCAATAAAGTGGCACCAAACACTCCCAAGAGCCTGCAACACAACTTCCTACAAGGCCAAGGAGTCCAGTGGGAAGGAGGCTCGGCACAGAGCCCCCCAAGTCCTTTGCCTAGCATTCAAGAGGCAGGCAAGTTGAGCAAGGAGAAGGAGGTCAAGAAGTGAGACCTCAAGGTAACTGTCTTCAGTTTCCTCTGCAAAGAGGAGGTCCGGGAAGCCTGAGAAGAGGTCTGGAATAAGGTTCTGTGGGGCGTCAGAGGGGACCCATCATGGAGGACGAAAGGGCTGCCGTGCTGCAGTGAGGGTCCCCTGGAGGCTGGCTAGGGGGAGTCTCGAGTGTCCGGAGTCAGCAGGATTGCGTGGCTTATTCAGCAGCTCATGAGGTGGACGGTAGGAGTAACCCTGAGCCGAGACAGCGCAGGGATGAGTGGTTCCTGGATGGGGGAGCTAAGGATATTCAAGAGTAAAGGATGCAGAGCCGATCAGCATGATGCATCAGCTGATTTAGCTGATGGCTACATAGAAGGCTGAGATGGCCAAGCCAGGAAAGTGAAGTCAGTCTGATAAAGCCCTGAGGGGCTGTATACCTCAGCGAAGGTGAGCAAGCTTAGGAGAAGTGGGACAAAAGAGAGAAAATGACAGCGGGTCAGGCAGAGGAATGTCAGAGGGTCCTAGTGAGATCTAGGGTGTGACCATCGCTGGGCATGGAGGAAGTGGAGTGGAGGAGGCGGTCCTGGGCCCTGAGAAGATGGAAAGACAGACAGATCAGGGTTTTGGAGGGAGTGCCTCCAGGAATGCTGAAGCCCTCCCGAATGGGGGCAGGAAAACCACAAGCCAGTCTCGTGCTCCTTGAGAAAGCAGGGGGAATGACATGGAGGCTGGTAGTCAAGAGCCACCGTGACGTCCAGGCGGTGGAGAAAACCTTCCCCTCTTCCTGAGAATTGCCTAATCTGACATCTTTGGATGGATTTCATGGAGTCCATCACCGTGGACGGGAAAAAAAAATCATCTTTACATTCACCAATCTGTCCCCGAATCAGCATTTTCTTCTCAGAAGCATGCTTTGGTTGTTGTTCTAAGGGAGAATTCTAGGAGGGCAGCACGGGGTTACGAGGAAGTGATACTGGTGAAAAAATTTAAAGAATCAATAAAAAAATTAAATTTTAAAACACGGCAGGGAATGAATTACTGGACCCATCTGCAGCTGTGGCCTTGGAAATGTTTTTAAAATTCAGGGCCGTTCTTAACAGGATGGAAAATTCTTGTTGGTTACAACATTTCTTTTTTGTTTCCATCACATTGGACTGTAGTTTATTTTTTTTAAAGAAATTTGGCAAAAAAAAAAAGGGTGGGGGGTCAGCTAGGTGGTGCAGTGGATAGAGCACCGGCCCTGGAGTCTGGAGGACCTGAGTTCAAATCTGGCCTCAGATACACAATACTCACTAGCTGTGTGATTCTGGGCAAATCACTTAACCCCAACTGCACTCACCAAAAAAAAAAAAAAAAGAAAAGAAAAGAAAGAAATTTGGTATGACATTCTTACTCATGACTTTATTACATTCTTCTGTAAGGATTTCTTAATGACTCGTGCTCTGGCAAAGAGTGAAGTTTATTTCTCTAGCTGAAAGCCTTTTCATATTCACTGCATTAATGGAGTTTCAGATGGGCAGTAATTCTACGATGGGCAACTGGGACTGACCTTCAGGTGAAGGTCTTCTCACACTCGTTACAGTCATACCCTCAAGAATGGATTATCTGAGATCAGTGGGTCAACAAACATTTGCTAAGCACTTACCATGGCCAGACACCGTGTTATGTGCTGGAAAGACACAGAACAGCAAAAACAGTCCTTCCCTCAAGAGGCTCACACTCTTAACGTAGAAGACAATTTAAGTGAAGTCCTGAAAGAAGCCTGGCAAACTAAGAGATGGAGGGGAGGAAGGAGAGCCTTCCAGGCATGCACAAAGCCACTGCAAAGGCTCAGACTGGAGATGAAATGTCTCGAGTGAGTGGCAGCAGGGAGGCCAATGTTGCTGGATTACAGAGATGTATAGATAGAAGTATAAGATGCAAGGAAAGGTAGAAGGAGATATATTGTGAAGGGTTCTAAAAGCCAAACAGAAGATTTTGTATTTGCTCTGCAAGTAACACAGAGCCACTGGAATTCACTGAATAGGAGACAGGCAAGATGAGACCTACACTTTAGGAAAATTATTCTGATAGCTGTGTGGAGGATGGACTAGAGGGAGGAGAGACTTTGGACCCCAGGCAGACCCACCAGCAGCTATTGCAATAGTCTAGGTGTGAGGTGATGAGGCCCTGAACCAGAGTGGTGGCAAAGATGGGGGCATATGGAAGAGATGTTGGGAATGTAGAAAGGGCAAGTCTTGGCAACAATTCGGATATGTGGGGTAAGAATAAGGAACTGAAGAGGACGCCAAAGCTACATGCCTAAGTGACTGGGAGGACAGTATTCTCCTCAATAGTAATAAAGAAGTTCATCAGAGAGGAGAGTTGGGGGAAGGAGGTAGGTGGAGACGAGATCAGCTTTGGATACGCTGAGTTTCAGGTGCCTACAGGACGTCTGGTTTGAGATCTGGGTACCATCTGGGTAGAGATGATAACTGAAGCCATAGGAACTGAAGAGATCATCAAGTGACAGAAAGAAGAGAGTCCAGGACAAAGCCTTGGCATCCAGTTGGTGGGTGTGACCCAGACTGAGAAAACAGCAAAGGAGACTGAGAAAGAACAATAAGACAGGTAGGAGGACAACCAGGAGAGAACGGAGTCACAAAAACCTAGAAAGGAGTCTCCAGAAGGAAAAGGTGATCGACAGTGTGAAATGCAGGAGAGAGGTCAAGAAGGAGGAAAAGGCCATGAGAACTGGCAATTAACTTTGGGGAGTTCAATAAATCTGTGGCTGGGCAAAATGTCTTCCCACATTTCTCAGGTTTCTACTTAGAAAGAATTCTCTCAGTTTATCAGACTTTGACATTGTTTCTCTCTTCAACAGGAACTGTCCATCATTGAATAAGGTGCTTTTTCAAGAAAACGTAAGCTTCTCAAGGGAAGAAACTATTACATTTTTGTGTCTGTATTTCTAGCAACTAACAGAACGTGTGGCACATGATAAAACTCTAAATATAAATATCTGTTGAAATGAGCCAGAATTCCCTGGCAGAAGTCACGACATTTATAAGGCGTTGTATTTGGAATTTGTACCCTTGGCATCTAGCACAGTACCTGGAACACAGCCAAGTGGTTAATAAATGCTCACTGACTGACTGATTAACTGATATGGTTTCTCTGCGGTATGAATTTTCTGATGTCGAATGAGTTCTTCCCTCTGGGGAAAAGCTTTCTGGCATTCATGACATTCATAAGGTTTCTCTCCAGTATGAATTCTCTGGTGCCGAGTAAGCTTTCCACTCACACAGAAGGCCTTCCCACATTCATTACATTTATAAGGTTTCTCTCCAGTGTGAATTCTCTGATGAACAGTAAGGGTCCCACTCTCACGAAAGGCCTTCCCACATTCACGACATTCATACGGTTTCTCTCCTGTATGAATTCTCTGATGTCGAGTAAGTTCTGTTCGCCAGCAAAAGGCCTTCCCACATTGATGACATTTATAAGGTTTTTCTCCGGTATGAATTCTCTGATGTTGAGTAAGCTGTGACCTTCGGCGGAAGGTCTTTCCACAATCATCACATTCATAAGGCTTCTCTCCTGTATGGATTCTCTGATGTCGGGAAAACTGTATCTTCAGGCGGAAGACCTTCCCACAGTCATGACATTCGTAAGGTTTTTCTCCGGTGTGAATTGTCTGATGTTGGGTGAGAGCTGCCCTCCAGCGGAAGGT